ACTACTACTACTACTACTACTACTACTACTACTACTACTACTACTACTACTACTACTACTACTACTACTACTACTACTACTACTACTACTACTACCTACATTCTGGCCTACTAGTAGTAGGCCAGAATGTGTACTCGACAAGCAAATGAATTCGCATTTGAAACCAATCAAATCTGAATTATTAAAAAAAAATATCTGTAAACCTAAGCTCAACGCTCTGTTATCTCTACGCTGTAATTCAAGCTTTCTACAATTTTCCGTACTGGCACTCGACGGAGTCCGTGCAACAGTGCATAAACTTTACTGTATAAGAGACAGTGATTTTCAGACAAGGGTATCAGACCCGCAAGTGCAAGTGCTCAAATTTGGAAAAAAGCAAGTGAGTATTTCTAAGGCTTCTTAGACCACCAACTACTCAAATTCAGATCGTGGACTCTACACCTGAGCATATCAAGTGCCACAAGGGCCGAGGATCGTAAATTTCCCTTGTTGTCAACCTCGAGATCTCACATCAAGAGGGAACCACATGAGAGACCACGGAACTCTTCACCAGCGAGCAGGACTCTGACGACCTAGCACATAGACTGAAAAAGGACCCAGGACACGATCTCACCGACCTTAATACGAGGGTCTACGATCTGCTCATGATGCTTACAAGCAAAGAAGTCATCGTCACCAAGAGCTAGCAGAACCGAGTAAAATTCGTATCGTGGCGCCCTACGTGGGGCCATGACTGAGAACCGACAACCGACCTATTTGCTGCTCCAACAAGACCCCTCTGATAATAGAAACCTTAGAACGTCTGTTATTTAAATCAGTGGACGAGTTACGGTATTGGATTCCCTATATATTAGCTAATTGAGAGTAATAGTAGAAAACAAAATTAACTTACCATATTGAAAATAAAAAAATTTCTAGTTGAACTGGTGACTTTCACAGAACTTAACATTTATTGAATTGAATTCGGTGCCATCTACTAGACAGCAACACTACTACAGAACTAGTGACCCATACACTGTTGCTGTTGCATTATTTTGCCTTATCTGTATTATTGTTTATTTATAAACTCGATTTGCACTGTATTCATTGAAGTTAATTTTATTGCGTTATATCTTTAAATTTCTGGCCTAAAAAACAATAAATATGCACTCAACGAAACACGAGCCTCGGTCTATGACACAAACACCGCTAGTGCCATTACTATCACATTGTTTTATTTACCTACTGAGGTAACACTTTCTATTGATGACCAGACAATTTAAAAAAAAACTTCGGTCCTCGAAACACTTCGACTGTCAACGTTTAAGAACTTTTGTCTTCCGCAAGTCCGGACAGGTTGAACACGGAGCTAAATTTAAGTTTCAAAGTAGTGTAGATTTTTGTTTATCTGCGATCCTCAGTATGAAAAACAAGCTAAAAATAAAAAACCTGCAACTACCAATCTTTTCGAAGCAAAACTGAAGACAAAAATAAAAATATGTCCACAAACTTGGGAAATAACACCTCGATTTGAGCCGGTTTCAGCAAACTTACGGTTTTTAGATCAATTCTGCAACCTCTGACTGAAAAAGTAAATTCTTTGGCTGAAATGGCTTTTACTCACTGAAGCTATCAACAGATTAATTTGGACCACCACTGAAAATATAAGCGCCTTTGACGTAACCCTGAAAAAAAAATGATTAGGAAAAACAAACATACCCGAATAAAAATTGCATGGTTTTATTGATTTTTAAAAATTCAAGGTTTTAAACTTTTAAAATTACAAAATAAATAAAGCACAGTCTTCATAATTTTTTGGAAATATTTTCTCACCGCACGTGTTTCTTTGCGTGCGACTGCATAGTTGACCTCGACACGAACGTTTTCCCACAGGTCTCGCAAGCATAGGGCCTTTCTCCGGTGTGTAAGCGTTTGTGAATTGCCATCGGTGTAAATTGCGTGAATGTTTGACCGCAAAGGTCGCAACTGGAAATAAAAAATTAGGTTAGTGGAGTATTACATCTTGTTTTTGATGATTGTCAAATTTTTTAATACCTATATAACAAAAACAGTTGCCGAGAAATAATTCTAACACGTGTTTTTGTTAATGGAACATCCTGTATACTATTATATATCTGCATAGAACTCTTCCGTAAACGCTGTTTTAACGTTAGCATAAAATATAGGTTAGTCAGTTCTGTTTATAGTTCACATAATTCTGCTTCATGTCATATATTGCCTTAATTAAAAAAAAAAAGTGATACACTTTCCATTTCATAAATATTTTTTATAAGTTGTATGTTGAAGCGTGTTAAAGGTACAAAGTGAGTTCCCATCATTTCATTTGTCTGGTTATATCTTGTCACATCAAATAAAATTTATATTAGTTGAAACAACCCCAAAATGTAAATTAAATAAATTTTCAGGGCTATGAATAGATTTTTTAAATGAATTTTTCTAGTCCACCAATCTTTATGGCCTACCCTGTAGATCAAAGCGAAAGTCGCTTTTTCTCCCATAATTTAGTATTTACGAATGATTTCTAGTTTTTTTACAAATGCAACTAGTCGGGGTACAACACCATACTATTTTTTCCTATAGTTTACTACGCATTATAGCTTTGTCTAGTAAAGATTGCTACTCAGCTTCTGTCGGTAAGAAAAAAAAAAACAAAGTCCAATTTTACAGGGTCTATAGCTTGAATAAAGATTTAACTTATGTTTTCACTGAAAAATTTATTACTTAAATTAATTATTATTATTCAGTTGCCGTACGAGTGGCATTATTCACATCATTGATGTTTCTTTACTTCAGCAAAGTTCCTTTTTCAAATTATATAGAAAATTTAAGTCACTAATCATGGCCACTTTCAATATCTGATTTTTTTAGTCAAGATTTGCTCCTGCAGTTAGAGTTAATTCTGAAAAACTCTTTTTAGGCACAATTTCAAGTCAAATATATTAAAACCCAATAGTTATAATTATATGAAAATAATGGGACGTTGAATAAGTACTCGCTGTTTTCCAACAGCCATTTCTGGTAAAGCACCTTTAAAGAAAAACTATAAGCAAACTTGAAATTCAGCGTATGTTATATCGCCGAAGTGTAAACTACTTTTTTCTTCAGTGTTAAGAGGGCTCCACAGATTGTCTAAATATGAATGAATGCACAAATAACAGACCTTCCTCCATTTTAAAGCAGATTTTCTATAAAATGGAATTAGTTTGAAACTCAAATTACTTTTTGTTATAAAGAAATTTGTAATTTGCATCGTAAATTACAAATTTCTGTTATTTGTGCATTAATTCATACTTAGACAAACTATCTATAGAAGTGTATTGCTGGTTACCTATTTGCTATAGAGCCCTCTTAAACATACCGAATTTTGTGCCGAAAAAAGAGTAATTGTGGTAAATTTTCTTGCACTACTTTATTCTAAGAAAATCTACAGTTGAAGCACACACAATTATTGTTGAGACTTATGGCGACCATGCTCTGGCACACTGAAACAGTTTGAAGATGAAGAACTGGAGGTATTACTTGATGAGGACTCATGTCAATGAACATGCAGAATCATTAAAAGTTGATTTCGAAACAATTTCGAAACATTTGAAAGCATTAAGAACGGTTCGAAAGCAAGGACATTTGGTGCCGTACGAGCTGAAGCCAAGACGTCAGCATCTTTGGACGTGTGAACAGCTACTTTCATGGCAGAAAAGGAAAGGTTTTCTGCATCATGTCGTAACTGGCGACGAAAAATGGATATGCTACGATAATGCTAAGCATAGAAAATTGTGGTACAAGCCTGACCAAGTGTCGACATCATCGACAAAGCCGAATATCCACGGTTTCAAGATTCTGCTCTACATTTGGTGGAATAAGCTGGGTGTGGCTTATTAGGAGTTGCTCAAATCGAATGAAACCATCACGGGAGATCATTATCGACTACAATTGATGAGTTTGAACCGAGCACCGAACGAAAAACGGCCGCTATACAAGCAGAGACATGACAAAATGATTTTGCAGTATGACAATGCTCGGTCCCATGTTGCAATCGGTGAAAATCTACTTGACCCTTCTGGTTATCACTTGTTCCGATTGACGCCACATGGTCTGGCTGAACAGCACTTCCATTCTTACGAAGATGCCAAAAAATGGATTGACTCTTGGATAGCCTTAAAAGACGTCTCACGGAATTAGAATGGTGCCAAAAAGATGGGAAAAATACTAGCCACTAGGCTAGCGATGGACAATTCTTTCAGTGACGTTTTTTACAAAATTGTTTAAAAGCATTAATTTTCATGAAAAAACAGCGAGAGCTTATTCAACATGCCATTATATATCCCCAGATTGTCAATTACTACAGCCTACATCGATTAATATAATTTGTATTGACTAAGAAACTAATAAAAATCGTTAATTCATTTGAGTAAACTACTTACCTATAAGGCCTTTCCCCTGTGTGGGATCTTCTGTGGCAGCGCAATGCGTCTCTCCTGGCAAAAGCTTTACCGCACATTTCACATACATACGATTTTTCCCCAGTATGCATGGTAGAATGTATTTTAAGGTCAACCCTTGTGAGAAATCCCTTCCCGCAGACCTAAAAAATACATAGTACCTAGTATCATAATTTAACATTCGGGAGTATACAGAGCATCCACAAACTGTACGCAAAATTTTGGGGCAGTAACGCTACTGGAAAAAATAATAACACAAGTTTATATTAGGTTTTTTTTAAAACTCAATATTAAAAAATGATTTTTTTTTATTGTTTTTTGGTTGCACCCTTTTTAATACAGTAAAACCTCCCTTAAACGAGCACCTCTTTTAAGCAGACACTTTTGATGTGACGGAAAGATTCCCTATATTCTACTTAACAATTATACCTCTCTTGACCAGACCCTCTTTGGGCGGAAACGGACACGTATTTTACTCCCAAAAACGAAGCAAACCTCTCTTGGACGGACATGAACGACATAACTTTAAAAAACACTACCGATCTCGAATTTCAAGCAAATCATAAATAACATGGAGAATACAGAATCTGATACCCAATTGGGAAAAACGATTAATATCTTGGATGCGATTTATTTCATAAATTCATCATAGCAGCAAGTGAGTGTTGATACAATTAAAAGTTGTTATTCTGAAAATGCAGCTTTAATTATAAAGCGGTTGTTGGTGAGGATGAAGAGTTTGATGTAGAAGATAACCTCCCGCTGTCCGAAATAGCTACATTTTCTAGACTTGTAAGGCAGACAGGTGCTGACTTAGTAGATCCAGAGGATTTTATTTTGTTTGACAAACATTTATATGTGGAACAAGATTTTAATGTAACTGAAACTATGACTACAAAAAAGGAAACCGTAGAAAACAAATATTCTGATGATGACGAAGATGTGGATGTTGTATTAGAAGAAGGCAATATTAACAAATACTGAAACTCAAAAAGGGTATTGAAGAATTGAAAGTTTTTGCTGCGAAGAGAAATGATGGTAAATGTTTAGAAATGTAATGTTATTACAAGAACATGTTATAGAAAACACTCATATATTAACTATGACCAAATAAATGTGAATAACGGATTATTTTAAATAATATATAGGTATGTACTGCTCTCTTGAGCAGACAAAAATAGTTCGACCCTTGATGTCCGCTTAAGGAACGTTTCACCGTACTTCAGACATTTTTTCCACATTTGGAAAACTTACCTATTCCTTGAATAAAACTCTCGTTTAGCAAAATCGGAAAATTCTAAATGGCACTTGGCACTACAAAAATAATAACTTCATATAAAAATAATAAACTCAAGAAATGTTGATTTTCACCAAATGGTTGATTTTTTCGATATAAAACAAGAACACCATTTTTTTAAAGTTTTTTTCCATTTTTTCATATAAATTTTTAAAAGAATTGAAAATAAAATAGTTATCATTTTTGTTTATTTAAAACTGCACCCTTACGAAAGGAAAATCATTCTAAAGTTGAAAAAAATCTCGTAAGTATGTTAAGGGTTATGAAAAAAAAAGAATAATCTTCGAGGTTAGAAAGTCGTTTTCGAGTTTTTGCAAAAAAAAAAGATATGTGAACTTGTGTTATTATTTTTTCCAGTAATATCACTGTCCCTATTCCTTGTGCGGAGTTTCCTAACACCCCATATCCAACGTTTTACAATAAATTTCTAGTAATTCCAAGAAATGAACTATGATTCCAATGAAATGGCTTTACACCACACCCTTGAAGGTGTTTATGTCTATCTTTTCCAGATAGACATAAACACAGATCAATTGGAAGGCACAGTATAATAGAGTAGCCAGCCCAGTCACCAGACTTGACTCCACTTGATTTTTTCATGTACGGATATTTAAAAGGCAAAGTTTACAAGTATCTTTTGGAAAACATAAAGGTTCGACAAATGCAAGTGAAGATGAAATAAGGCAAATGTTTATCTCAAAATGATTGAACATACAGGGTGTCCCGTAAAGTATGTTACAAACTTTGGGTGGTGATAGTACATAAAAAATATGACTAAAAACTCTAATAAACATAACCTCTTAAACGCACCGTTTTGAGGCCTTAAAAGGTGCAACTACAAAAGTAGTTTTTGTGACGTAACTCTTTGTTGAAAAGAGAAAACATAATGAAATTTTCAGGGACTAGTCAGCTTTAGGAAGCCAATAAATAATGTGGATATTAATAAAATTGAGAAAGAGGAAGGGTGTTTTTTTATCACCCTGTATCCTATTTTTTGCCAAAAAAAATTTTTCTGCAAAGATACAGCAAATATCATAAGATTTTTAGAAAGACCATTGAATTTAGAAATTTTTTTGTCTCTTGCATTTTTTATGTAAAATGATTAGTTTTCTAATAAATTTACAAAATGCAAAGGGAGTTTACTCACCGCTAGGTGTTAAATTTGACGTATTCAAAAAGTAGGCGCCTGTCACTTTTAACATAGTTGACATTTGTTACCATATTTTAATCGTGTCTGTTGACGAATTATTAATTTGTGAGTACAATGGCGGATAACAATCGTTTTACTAATCAAGAATATGCCGAAATGCATTTTATTTATGGATTATGTAATGGAAATGCAACAGCTGCTCGAAGAACATACATAGAACGTTATCCGCAGAGACGTCAGCCGTCTACACAATTATTTACTCGGATTCACAGACGGATTATTGAAACTGGTAGTGTGGTACCCCGTTACATACATTGTGGTAGAATTGCTAGAAGACTACCCGCGCAAGATGAACAAATTTTGAGATCTTTTGAACAAAATCCGGGAGAAAGTGTGCGAAGGGCAGCTAATCAGTTACAGCTTTCCAGAATGTCAGTTTGGCGTGTTTTGAAGGAAAACGGCCTTTATGCCTACCATCTCCAAAAAGTGCAACATTTAATGCCTGAAGATCTTCCCCGACGCCTAGAATTCTGCCGAATAATACTTAACCATCACCAACATAATGTGGAATTTATTAGCTCCATTTTATTTACCGATGAAGCCACCTTTACACGAGATGGTTTACTGAACTTGCACAATGCACATGCATGGTCAGACGAAAATCCTCATGCTACCATTGATAGTCATCACCAACACCGATTCTCAGTCAACGTATGGGCTGGAATAATAGGTGACTATTTGCTCGGGCCTTTCTTTCTACCTCAAAGGCTTGATGCAGTAGAATATTTAAACTTCCTAGAAAACCATCTCCCTGAGTTAATGGAAAATGTTCCTTTAAATTTGAGACAATACATGTGGTACCTCCATGACGGGGCACCTGCGCATTTCAGTGTTCATGTTAGAGAGTATCTACATATGCGGTTTCCTAATCGATGGATTGGAAGAGGATATAATGCACCAATAGCCTGGCCACCGCGATCACCGGACTTGAATCCTGTCGATTTTTATCTTTGGGGACACGCGAAATCTCAAGTTTATGCAACCCCTGTTGATACAGAAGATCAACTTAGACTGCGAATTGTAGAAACCTTTAATTTAATAAGAAATAGTCTATTCATATTCCAAAGAGTCAGATTTAACTTTATAAAGAGACTGACAGCATGTATCGATGCAGAAGGAGGTCAATTTCAACATTTATTATAATAACATATTTTGTTTTAGTTCTGTTTTGGTTACTTAATTAAAAAAATTATTTTGGAAATTGATTGTATTCTTAAAAATTCACTAGGCTTAAGAAATGTATGTAAATAATTCGGAAGCACTCATCTCTCTGCATTTTGTAAATTTACTAGAAAACTAAACATTTTACATAAAAAACACAAGAGACAAAAAAATTTCTAAATTTAATGGTCTTTCTAAAAATCTTATGATACTTGCTGTACCTTTGCAGAAAAATTTTTTTTAGCAAAAAATAGGATACAGGGTGATAAAAAAACACCCTTCTGCTTTCTCGATTTTATTCATATCCGCATTATTTATTGATTTCCTAAAGCTGATTAGCCCCTGAAAATTTCATTAAGTTTTCTTTTTCCAACAAAGAGTTACGTCATAAAAACTACTTTTATAGTTGCACCTTTGAAGGTCTGTAACTTCAAAATGGTGTGTTTAAGAGGTTATTTTTATTAGAGTTTTTAGTCATATTTTTTATGTACTATCACCACTCAAAGTTTGTAACATACTTTACGGGACACCCTGTATACAAAATGAATTTATTCATCACATAGGGTGAGGCCTAACAGCCAGTGGTGTTCGATTTGAACTTTTATCATATTATTGCCAATTATTGGTGTTTTTAAAATAAAATTTGTTACACACAGTTATTTATGCAGTATTTTTTTAAAGTTTAAAGACACAATAAACTAAAAATGCTTACCTCACACATGAATGGTTTTTCTCCGGTATGTATTCTTAAATGAGTCTGTAAATAGCTTTTGGACACGAATCTTTTACTACAAATCTTACAAGAATATTTCCTGTTATCCAACCCAGAATGTACTTTTTGGTGGGCTCTACACAGTCCTAAAAACATATGTTTCTGTTAAAATGGCCCTTAAAAATTTGTAGTAAATGTTTAAAAAGAAATAAAAAAAATTTTTACCTTTGGTAATAAAGCCACGACCACAGATATCACACATGTACGGTTTAACGCCTAAATGCCTATTTGTATGATCCAGCAAAGACTGTTTCGTTTTAAAGTTTTGGCCGCAGGTCGTACAAGGATAAGGTTTGATGTCTGAATGGACCCGTTGATGCACCATCAAATAACTTTTACATTGGAATCCTTTTCCACAGGTCGGACAAGCAAAATCGTATTGCCCTAAAAATTTCTGATTATTTTTTTTTCAAGTAAGTTCCGACAATTTTGGGAGATTTCTTGTATTTCCCGTAACTTTTTTTTTAATACAAAATTTAAAGTTACTATTTAATTCTCTCCTCCGCAAATACGAGAAATGTCTCAAAAGAGTCAAAATTGATACATCCTAAATCAAATTCCTTAATAGTTACTAGAAGTACAATTTGTAGATATGACCTTTCCGAAGCTGTTACAATTTTTTGAAAATAGCATAATTCTAATTTTTTTTACACCTTTTTGTTTACCTGTATGTTTGGCTTCGTGTTGGGCTAACCCAATTTTTGATCTAAATGCCTTATCACAGGATTGACACTTGTAAGGTTTCTCTCCAGTGTGTTTCCTCATATGTTCCGACAGCTTATAATTGGTCTTATAAGTTTTGCCGCATTCCTCACAAACTTTTGGAGACCACTTTTTCCTTTTGTTGTTACTAGCGTTAGAATCCACTACTGAATTTGTAGAATCTTCGGGAGGCTCCTCCTCTTCTAAACTAATTTGATTAGATTCTCCTTCGCTTTCTTCGCTGTTACTATCTGGTTTGGAACCATCCTCACCGTTCTCTAGTATAGTTGCTCTTTTCAGTCTCGTTTTTACAGGCTAAAAAAACAGATAACCACTACAAAATATTGTCAATAGTATAAAACATGATTTTCATTTATTTCTGGTTATCGTAAATTAAATTAACCATACATTAAAACCTGCACTTATTTTCAAGACCAACAAAAAATTGTATATAGGTATCAGCAAAAGTTGATATCAAAATGATGTTACTGGTTATTATAATTCATTTATTTACATAAATATTTTAATAGGAATCTCATATAAAGGAAATATAAATTTAGTATTCTTGTAATAAAAATTATTTTATGTTATTATTTATTTATTTTTATGTTATAAATTTATTTTTATGTTATTAATTAATAAAAGACAAAAAATTTCATTTAAACAGTTTCATCCAAGTTGTTTAGTTTTATTTGTAATTTATAATTTTTATAACATGCGTACAATCCGCGATTCCAATATATTTGAATATAAGCTTATTCGATCATTTGCAAAAAATACTTTCAGTTAAATAATTTCGATAGAAAACACAAATATACATGCTATTTTCTATTAGCACATATCATATTAGTATGTAGGTGTACGTACCGAGTTGGCCACTCAACTACAAAACTTGCCATAACAAGTAAAAAAAACGGATAGCATAAATCCATATGATAAACAAAGAGGATTACACAATTTCTTGAGGAACGGTCCCTACTCCAACAATGGCTGATTTAAGTAATGGGCCAAAATGTTATTTTATTATTCTTCAATATTTCGCTCATATAAACTCATACATAAGGCTCTTTTTTGCGTTTAGCAGCCTAGTTATACACAATGCGAGAAATAAGACAGTCCGTAGAATATTTGTCGAGATAGAATTCCGAGAAAATTATCGGAAGTACTGTAATAATTTACTACGGCAGGGGCGTGCCTTGAAATTTTCCACCAATGTCATTCTACCTCAGGTGTCGAATGTGGTTAATATCAAGAAATTGAGGCAGGGGTCTTCTTGGAATTCTAACTCAACAAATATCGTACGAACCGAACCGTACAATGTTTTTAAGACACTTTAAATATAAACATAATTGCATGTCAATTGTTATTTATCGCACCCGTTATTTTTTAATCGACAAATAATAATTGTTATTTCATAAAAAACACTTAAAATATAAGAGATCATTAATTTTTTGGGTATATACGGGTTTAGACCTGATTATTGTTTTGTTCAAATTAAACTGTGCTCAGATCGTAAAGGTTGTACTGTATGCAAAATAAATAACCACCGTCTTTCAATTATTCATGGTCTAATCCCACGAGGCAAGGTTAATCGAGATTCTACAATACAGTAGAACCCCGATTATCCGTGTGCGGCTGATCCTTCGTATGCTGCAATGTTTATGATTATCCGCTATCCATGCGTGAATTATCCATGACGGGTCGAAAAAAGCGCTCAGAAACAAAAAAAAGATGAGTCACTGCTTGTTTATTACATACATATTATTTTACCAACATATGTACAAATGTATGTAATAGGTATGTGTAAGTTTTTTTTTTGCAAAATTGGCGAGTTTGGTCGTTATTTCGATTAACTGTGTTTTCGATTATCCAGTAACGGTTCGGTCACGGCCGGTCCGGATAATCGAGATTTGAACTAATTGGATATTATGTGAAACGCAATTAATAAAATTTAATATCTTCGGTAAGTTATTTATTTCTACTTCAAACTAATTTAAGAGTTATTTCGTATAAAACATACTAAATAGCAATTTTGCTAATTTTTCAAATGTATTATTATATCTTCGACTGAATTAGTGAATTGGTATACTGGCAAAATTGATATCGTCCATATACCAATTGCATCGGTCAATCCGCAATTTTGGTGTAAAAATTTATGAGTAATAACCTCAAATGTTAAAATATCTTAGTAATTTCTCAATTGCGTCCGATAATTACGTAAGTGAATATTTTACTCTCCCTTCGGCTTATAATAAAGACTGTAAGATTTATTTAAAATGAAATTAAATATGAAAATGATTATTTATTATATTCATAAAAGTACCTTGGTATCATCTAAACAAGCACCATGGGCTTCTTTTCGATGAGATTTAAGCACTTCCAAATTAGTGAATACTGCAAAACAAATTGAACACTTATAAAAGTGAGTTTCATAGTGTACTTCAAAGTCAGCCTTTTGTTCATAAATCTTCCCGCAAATATTGCAATAAAACCACTCCTTAGGGACATTATTTATGTGTACCATTGCGTCGCTATTTTCTAAATTTAAACTGTATACTTGTTTATCCTCTAACGAATTTGATATATCTATGTTATTTAACTGTTCGTCTACTAGTAACGAATGTCCACTACTACTGTCTTCGTGTTTAAAACTTTCCAGCTTATTATTTTCTTCTTCACTGTAGCTATTATTTAATGGAATATTATTCAAATGCGAGTCAACCGACAGAGAACCATTGTCTAACTTTGTTTCATCATATTCAATAGTGGGAATGCTATTACATCCTTGACTTTTTTCTTGAGGGAATCTTTCGTTTTCTTGCTGAATCTAAAACAGTAATAACATTCACTTAAACATCATCTTTAGAAATTTAAATAAGTATTAGGTACCTCATCACCAAGTTGCATATTATTCGCTGTATTTTCATCCGATTCCATATTTACAGGCAAGTCTTGTTGGAGTCTGAATTGATCTGACAGTAACTGATGCTGCTGTATTAAATTTAAACTATCTGTAAATCTAGTATCTTGAATCGTATGAGCAGTATTATCAACCAAAACAGATTCTTGTGTTTGTAAACTTTGATTGGAAATATCCTGATTTGTTAAATCATGATGATTCAAATCTATACTGTCCAATGAATGAGAATTCATATCAACGTGATGAGTTAATATAATTTCATGCTGTACAATCATGCCTTCACGTTGGCCAAGATGAGAAAGGTCAATCTCCGGAACGTTTTGCAAATTCTGTTCACTCAATAGTTCATGTTGTTGCACCATAATTAGATCATTATGACCAAGTGGAACCATACATGACTGTTGGTCACTATGTACTCGAGATGCCTTTATTTCTTTATATAATTCCACTAGTAATCTTTCAGTTCGAGCCGACCGCTCCCGAAAATCACAAAATAATTCTAGTTTGTACAAACAATTTTCACAAATCATTTTTGGTAATTCATCGGTCTCATGAACCTAAAAAAAATATTTTATTGAATCAAATTAACATAACCTAGAAAAACAATAATTACCTGAACAGGAAGACAAGTACATATTTTTTTACTAATTTGCCTTATGGTACCCTCATTTTCAAATATATTTATTGCCAAAACCATTGTTGTCTTTGTTGCACATAATCTACACAGTTCTTCAAATTTTGGATTATCAACTGCAGCCATTTTATTATACTAGCAGACTTAACAAACTACTCCGATAGAAAAATGCATAAGATTTTTCAAAATGCGTTCAAATTGAAGCAGGAAATGAAAATTATAAGTATATGTAAAAATCATATAAATTTATCACTCCAATTGATCAACTTTACAAAAAAAATTAAATATAAAGTTGATCATATTTATGAAATGCACATATTCAATAACGAAAGTATCTGGATTCTGGATATATGCGCATGTGTGGCAAATCCGATGGTAAATAAATCGAATGTGTTCAGATTTAAAAAGCTACAATTTGTCTTGCTGAACGCACTAGAAAAGAATGCAGGGCGTTTACGATTTACACAGAGCCATTCTATGGTCAATGACAGCAGTCGGTCAGAGCTCTTTTCTTTTATTCATGATTTCAGAACGTAACGCGTTACGATCCGAAATCTAGCAACCAGATTGGTTTCCATCTCCATCGGATCGTAACCTCAGACTAATAAATAAAGGGGACGCCTTTATTTACATTCGATAGTGAAGTGTTGACATATGTGTATTTACAAACATTGGTACTTTGTGATGTCCTTGACATTGATGCCAATGTTACATTTTTATCTTTATAGCTAGGTACAGCGGTCATTTTAATTGATTATCGTACAAGGATCTACCTCATTCTTGACCTCGACTTACAAATTAGTTACATTGTAATATGCATAAGACTACGACACTATTTTCTTGCAACTTGTTTTATAATTATAGATTTTGAATATCTGAAAAAAAATACATTATTGAAATTCCTAGCAATACAAACGCCGTAAGTGGCATCATTGCCTGGTATTAAACGGTTCTAAAGGGGACGCCATTATTACAGTCTATTGTTGTGAAATAGATATTAGCCGAGTTCAGTGTTTTGTGTCTTTTTAAACTGTTTTTTTATCTAATTTCAATAAAAATGCCAAAGCGGCGTATAATATGCCGACAATTACAGGAAAAGAGCCAAATATGTGCTACTTCTTTTCACAAGTAAGTTTGACATTGTTTCCATGGGCGTTCTTACAAGGGTGTAAGGTGTCCTAAGTATTTTATTTGTTAATTTATTATGTTTGTATTTTGATACTGACACTAGCTCTGTGTTTATTTGTAGAATACCATAAGATCCTGCGATACGAGCAGTGTGGCTAGAAAATTTCGCCATATCTGAATATGATTTTTCAAAGGATAATTATGTCTGTCGAAGCATTTCCGTGCTACAGATATTAAGGTAACAGTAACTGGAAAACGATGTCTCACACATGGAGCTGTGCCTATTAATACAACATTTGGAAGGTAATACGTTTTAGCACAGTGTTGATGAAATGGTTGTGCCGTCTCAAAGGTTCCCTCTTCGAGAAATTGCCAGTGAAGGAAATTTTATAGATGTTGCTATAAAACATCTTCAATCACATGTTGTCCCTGTTCCATAAGAGACGAGCTGTCAATGTTATGAGCTCAAAATTCAGCTTATTTTTGTTGCGTACATTTAAAACATGCTTATTTTCCCATACGATTAAATGTTGTTCAATGTAAATTCATTTTTCCGTTACTTTTAGTACAAATATGTTTTGTTTTCTTTGCATTGTTTATATTCCAGCAGATTTTAATTAAATATATTTTTGCTCCTTTTCTTGTAGTTTTATTTAAATTATTTATTTTAATAAATGTTCTTCCAGTAATCGAGAACTACTATGAAATAATAGAATTAATAGTAGGCAATGACATTGCTATAGCTATAGTATAATGATAGTTTCAATCGAGGAGTTTTCTTTAGTCACTCTTTTGTTCTGGAAATGTTTTTAAAATATTAATTATAGATTTTGAAGAAACCATTAACTTTTTCCTATTTATTGTCTATTTATTACACATGAAAGCTTAAATAATCGAGCACTTCTGATTTTATTCTATTAAAAAGTGTAATTTTTATGGTTTCCTTATATTATGATAGATTTTAAACCTAAACTCGGTACGCCACTGTACCAGGGACCATTGTGTTTACTTATGTATCATTTGTTTATCAACATACAATAGGTTGAGGTTACATGTTTACATTGTGTACTGAAATAGGGAATGCGGCCTCCCCTTTACTTATTACTCTGAGATCGTAACGCGTTATGATGACAACAGACATTGACAAGTAATACATATTCAAAAGGAATAACGTCTCAAGTGAAGTTAGAATTTTTTATATGTTTCATAATGATTATTTGGTCATGGATTATTTCATTCTGGTTATTATTTGTGCCACTGTACTATTATAATAAATGAAATTTATAATTGACTCTGGCTTTTGGCGCATAATATTAAAAAGAAGTACTTGAAAAATATTTAAATACTTTTGTTTTCTTGGAGGTGTTCCAATTGTTTAAATTTGTAGTATTTAAAATTAAAGCGTAGAACAGTAGAACACTTCGGGTGCACTTCCCAGACAATTGGAAAGCAGCTATTAAATAGATGATTTACGTTTTCATTTTACGCATGCGCATTAATTTGTTTACAGTTAGTGATGGAAATAATCGAATGAATTAAATAATCGAGAGGTTACCTTTCGAATTAATTTTATAATCGAATGATCATTCGAATGATATATAATCGAAAGTCCACTTCCAAAATTTCCGACCTATCCCAAAAATTATATGCGAAAAAAAACTAATTAATGACTCGCGTATTGCGGAATTTCTTCGTTGTCAGTTGAGTGGTTCATCAGCATGTGTTTAAAATGAGTAGTCGCCGCCTAAAGAGATCCATTGTTTGGGTTTTTGAAAAAAAAAATATATAGAAAACATAATTTTTGTATTATTTTCATTCATATGAATTTCTATTCTTGCTAAATAAAGCTCCTTTCTAAACCGCCCTTCAAAACTGCGCGATGCCACTCATAAAAATACTGCATATTTTTTTATGCGGTGATAATCGATTGTCTCATCCATCCTCTCGGCCGTCTTATCTCGAGGTTTTGTTTTTGTAGCTCGTTAGAGCGTTGGAATAATCGAAACACTTGTGCTCTCGCTCGAGCAGCGCGTTTGCGGTATTCGGTGATGACGAGTGACGATTGACGTTAGTAATGCTGTGGCCACTGTCATTCGTCATTCGTCTAAGAATAATCGAATGAATTTATATGATCACTCGAGATATCTCGAGAGATTTTCATAATCGATATAATCGATAATTTTCATTCGAGTAGTCCCATCACTATTTACAGTGTACATGATTTAAATTCAATAATCACATACCCATAACATTGAGGAAATATTTATTAATTTAATAATTTGTACTTGTATGTATGTACACGTATAAAATAAAGTAAAAATTTATATAGAACAGTCTTATTAAAACAAAAGCAACACTGACACTGAAGATGGCAACTATGATACAAACTGAATCTAATGAGTTTAAAACTCATGATTTTGATCTATCATTTTCAAATGAAGAGGATAGTGCAAATAAAAGTATAAAAATATCAGAAATGTCCAGACTATCAACCCCAAAACCCATAATGCATTTAGGATCTTCTACAGAGGTAATAAAAAATTAAGAAGAAACATGTACATACTAACATTTTTTTAGTTTCAACGACAAGGAACGGGGAAGCCAAAAACTCCTTTCAAACCTGGTACTGGATACAGGTCTGGAACAGGTTTTAAGCCAACAACAAATTTTAAAAAGCCAGGAACTGGCTTCAAGCCTGGAACAGGTTTCAGACCTGGTACAGGAGTGGATATAGTAAACCGACCTATGACTGCTGTTCGAGGCGCTGGATATACCTCGCATGGCAAACCATTTGATCCATTAAATCAAAGCGCATCAGCACCGACACCACCTTTGGAGTTAATGCAAAAGGATGACTCGTGAGTACAAAATACTTTAGAAAATGTTTTTTTTTTATTATGGACTGGAACAAACAAGCTATACTCTTCTATCTAGTTAATTTTTTAGTCAAAATATGTATAATTTAATTTTATTATAGACCAGAAGAGAAGATAAGGCAACAGGAAGCTAAAATAATGCAACTTGTTGAAGAATCTTGTATTGCAAATTCTGTGGGAGATAATCGAAAAGCCTTGTCAAAAGCCAAAGATGCTTCGAATAAAGAAAGAAGTTTAATAAGGATGCAAGAACAATCTGGTTTAGGGGATCACCACAATATTGACTTAACATACGCAGTAAGTACAGTGCTTGTTTAAAAATATTGTATTAGAAGCCAGAAAAAATTAACATGCCTATTGACGAAATTGACTCGATTTAATTGTAGTATTTGTTATATTAGGTGTTGTTTAATTTGGGTAATCAATACGCTGCTAACGAATTATATGTGGAAGCAATTAACACCTATCAAATGATAGTAAAAAACCGTATGTTTTCAAATGCTCACAGATTGAAAATTAATATGGGAAATATTTATTTTAAACAAGGTCACTATCAAATGGCTGTAAAAATGTTTCGAATGGCTTTGGATCAAGTTCCGTCTAGTCAGAAAAATCTAAGGTAATGTTATATATGTTTTTACGGTGAGTTTATAAAAAAAGTCTTAGACCCAACTTAGTTTTAATCTTTTTTATTTATTCATCTATCTCTGAAGCTGTTTGACAGATTGATGAAACTTGGCCTAATTAATTTAATAATTAAAGGCAAAAATTCATTGAATTGGTTACAAATGTATCAAGTATAAGTTTTAGACTGGATCACACAAGAATTGAGAAATATTTGTACTTATTGGTACGAAATTGTAAACTTTTTGTCATATCCAATTTCCAAGCAACTTTTCTTTTTAATTCATAATTTACTCACCAGCTTCATCAAATTAATACTCGTATTACCTTATTCTGAACTTCCTTATAATTTTTAATTATATTGCAGAATAAGGATAATGCACAATATCGCCATGGTATTCATTAGAATGGGGCAATGGGAAGAAGCCGTGAGCAGTTTGGAATACATAATGAGCGAGCAGGCCTGTCACCGGGCAGGTCTCCATTTAATCGTTTGCTGTAGAGCACTCGAAGATAGAGAGAGAATGAGAACGTCATTTTCCTTGTTACTGGCTGTACCACTTGATTTAGAAGATGAAGAAAAATATAATTTGGAACAGGTATTTATTTTTTTGCTGTATTATTATTTATAAGCAAAATCTGTGTACTTATGTAGGATACACCGGAAGACACGCTGATGGCGGTCACTATACAAAACGACGATTTACATAATTATGAATTACAAAAACGTAAAGATGCGGAATTCTGTATTCTCACTGCAGCAAAGCTCATTGCACCATTGATAGAGGAAACTTTTAGTGAGGGTAATTAAAAATATATATTACTAGATTTTTTGTTAATCCATTACAGATTATGTACAGGATTATTGATATATCTTGTGAAATGTGATACTTGATGGCACTCTGTTAAATTTTTTCTCAGAATCTGTTACTTTAACACAATTTAGAAACATGATTGGTGTTACGTAAATTTTGAGCTACTGTAAAAATACATTTTTGGAAATTGTCAGATAATTGATACCCTCTGTTAAATAACTTTCGCTACGTTTTGGAAAAAAATTCAAATAAACACTTAGTCAAACCCAATCCATATATCTAGGCCGAAAATTACATGAGTGATAATATCCCAAAAACAATTAAAAATATAAGAAAGGGTGAATAAAAAAGTTCTTTCTAACGGCATCAAAACAAGAGTACACTGAAGAAAAAAATTATCAGAACGTCAATGAACGGTATGCATTATATAATTAAATTTTTTTTAATTCTACATTTGAGTGACAGCCACTGAAAATATAAAATTGTTTTTAAAAGTAAAGTATATTCCACCATTTTTAAGACTGACACATTTTCCAAGATATCGATCATTGTGCACATTTTCACTATAAAGTTAGCTTGTATGGATGTAACTTAAGTATGTCAGTTTTCATGGAAATTTATTGGCCCGGTTTATATCATTGGAGTTATAGTAAACATTATATTTTTTCAAAAAATTTAACATTCTGTATCTTGAATATGATGCCATTCAGTTCATAACTTCAGACTTTCTTTGAAACGAACCAAGGAATTAGGCCTTAAAATTTTATTGTATTTAAGTTACACTCTACATTCAGACTAATTCTGAAGCAAACTGAAACAAGAGATAGAAAATGTCATTTTAGGTAAAAAATCTTCCTACGAACAAGGAGCTGGAAAATATTTTTTGCAGGAGTTGCACTAATATTTTTTCTGCAATCGTCTTTTAATAATTACTTTCTTGTACCACTGCCAAAACGGTGTCAATTTTCAATTTGATCGCCCAACTTTGTTTTTTTTTCTTTACTTTCAACAAGACGGACATCCAGGCTCATTTAACACGAATTATTCGAGAATGGCTAGATGGTTAATTTTCTGGGTGTTGGATTGGGCGAAATGTCCCAATTCCTTGGCCTCCTAGAAGTCTTGATTTAACTCTAATGGACTTTTATTAATGGGGCTATCTCATGCAGAAAGTTTATGGGTTCCCGTTGAATAACGATTTATTTGAATTGAAACGAAGAATAAAAATACAATTAATGTCATGCTCATTTAAGAAATCCAAAACGCCTACACAGAATTTACCATGCGCGCTGAGCGATATGTAATGGTTGTGGCAGCACGTTTGAATAACCATTATATTATTTGTTTATTTATGTTTATTATATTACGTTTTTTTCTGTAATAAATAATTAGGAGTTTATACTTTGTGGTTGTGAAAAATAAAAAAAATTAAAGTAGGCCAATCAAATTGAAAATCTGTCATAACTTTTAGTTCTCTATAACTTTCTTAAGTAAATATTTTTGATATTTTTAAAATAAAGGTACATTACTCTCGACAATTTTTGAAAATTCATCATAAAAACACCCTGTGCATTAGTTAATTGGACAAATTTTTTCAACCAGCCCAGAAACTCAAATTTCAACCCGAAAAATTTTTGTTATTTACATCCCACATGCATTCAATCCGAGGACAAACTGTATATAAGAAAAATGATTTTGATGACGATCTCTTTATATTTTTTTTTACTGTTTTTACACCCATTACCGAAAAATGGTATTTTCTATGTTCTGGTGAAGTTTGGCTGCATATTTTACTAATTTTTGTAATTTTTGATTACAAATTTAAAGGGTATGATTGGTGTGTGGCCGCAATAAAAAATTCCGAATACGCAAGACTAGCATCGGATTTGGAAATAAATAAAGCGGTGATGTTCCTCAAGCAGAAGCAACTACCTGAGGCCATTGAAACTTTGAAAGCATTCGAAAAAGATTCCATTATTGCCATAAATGCTGCAATAAACCTAAGTTTCATTTATTACTTGGTAAATTATATCGTTTCATAGGGGGTGATAAAGTACAATACCTGTATTATTATATGATATACAAAAAAAAATGTTTCAATAGAAGACGATAAAAAAATTATACAAGGTGGTGAATGAAAGTGTAGTGGTAATATTTTACATAAAATTCCTATACCTTTAAATGTATTTGAACACAAAATTCTCCGTATAGCAGCTTAAGTAGTTTTAAATTTGGTTACAGTGTTGCTAAATCATTTAGAAAATGTATTAAATTTTGGAGGAATATTTACGCCATATTTGCACACATCACCCTGTATATTTGAAAATATTTTTTTATTTCATTCAAGTTTTATTTGAACATTTTTTTATGTCTCAAATAATAACAGAACTATTGTATTTTGCCACATTAATGAACTCTTTTTAATTTACACAAACGTCGATTATAGCAAGGAGATTACGAAAACGCCATCAGATACAGTGAGGTTGTTAAGAAAACGGATGCAAAAAGTGCCGAGGGTTATGTGAATTACGGGGCTTGTTTAATGGCGAGGGGTCACTTGGAAGAAGCGGTAGGTTCTTTTCAAAAGGCCCTGGAATTCGACGCAACCCATTTTGAAGCTATCTTCAACTTAGGTACAGCAAACCCATGTGTTAATCTGTTTTTAATACCACTAACATATTAAAAAAAAATTGTCCCGATCTACACAGTTCGGCTATTAAATTTTAAGACAGATGTTGTGGCGAAGTGTGTGGCACTATCTATATGTGGTCATCAGAACTACGTAGTGAGAAAAATTTCATCAGTATACGTATATCTACCACGAAGTTATAACATTTTGCGTGAAGCACGTTTTTGATTTTGTCATGGAAACGCACATTGAACAGCATATAGCAATCGAGTTCTGTTTTACACAAGCCGAACGAACGAAAACATCGAAACTGTGCGCTCTGCACTGAAGTCTGATCGTCGATCAACTACAAGAATGTTGGCAGACCATTCATCGACGATCAGACTTCAGCGCATAGCGGACACTGTCGATGTTTTCATTCGTTTGGCTTGTGCAGGGACGCCACGTCCTCTCGTCATCTTGCACGCTATCTGGACCATCGTGAAACCTCCCGAACCACAGCAATGCAGTCAAACGTGATATACACTCCTCACTGTACGCCGTTTGCCACAGTTGACATGTTTCCGTGGCTGTTTCATTGGCTTAAAACAGAATTTGATTGTTGTATACTGTTCAGTGTGCATTGCCATGACAACTATCAAAAACTCGTTCACGCAAAACATTACAAACTTCATGGTAGATACACATATACTGATTAAATTTTGTTCGGTTGCTCGGTACACATAAACATGGCACCACCCCCGGGGTTTACACAGACGAGCCGGCGAAGCAAGAAGAGCGCCAGAAGAAAGGGCCCTAGCCGGCGGGGCCCAGCCAGGACAAAAGGAGGTCCCACAAAGCGCCTATACCGGCCGCATATGCGGTCGGGGTAGACGACGGATGGGGCCCACCTACGAAGGCTGTCCAGGCCTACACGAGATGAGGCAGGATAAAGAGGGATAATCCCCCTCGATCCCAAATCATTGAGGCCAATTTCTAGCTATGGAATAATGGCACGGTTGCTCGGAAGGCTTCCCACCATGTAGTTCCGTTGACTGCACGTAGATAGCGCCACACACTTCGCCACAATAAAATCAGTCTTAAAATTTAATAACCAGACTGTGTATTGCACAAACTCGGAAGCCATGTATTTTCATACAGGATTAGGACTGAAAAGACAGGGTCACTATATGGAAGCGCTGAGCTGTTTCCAGCGGTTCTCTGGTTCTCTAGCGCTTTTGCCAGCCGTGGTATATCAGGTAGCTAATCTACTAGAACTGATCGGCGACAATGAAGCTGCCGCAGACACCTATCAACAGCTGCTTGGCTTGGTGCCGACAGATGCAAAGGCTCTCCAAAAATTGGGAGAGCTGTACGACCACGAAGGGGACAAGCAACAGGCCCACCATTACCATAACGACGTAAGTGGTTTCTTCATTTATTAATTAGGTGTAAAATATGGACTTTAAATAATCATAAAATTGATAAAAATTCATAAACAGAAGCTAATTCATGAACCTTTGTGTCTTTCCTACAATTAATTTTTTTCGCAGTCGTTTAGATACTATCCTGCAAATCTGTCAGTAATAGACTGGTTGGGGTCGTACTATATCGAAATGCAAGTGGTGGAAAAAGCGTTAACGTACTTTGAAAAGGCCGCCGTCATGCAACCGAACGAGCCGAAGTGGAACATGATGGTGGCCGGCTGCCATAGACGGAGCGGCAATATGCATAAAGCTCTGACCTTATATCAAGAGATTCACCAGCAGTTTCCAGAAAATGCGGAGTGTTTGAGATTCTTAGTACGGTTGTGCAGCGACCTGGGGATGAGGGAGGCGCAGGATTACATCATGGTATTGAAAAAGTTGGAGAAAGCTAAAGAAGTCAGAGAAAGGGTCAACAGCAGCAGGCCAGGTTATTTATGAAGTTTTAATTTACTTAAAAAAAAAAATTACCGTATATTATGCAGGGTGTTTAGGAAATAAATATTTTACATGAAAAGAGGACAAGAATAAAAACATAAAAAAATAAACGAAACATTCCTATAGTCAAAAAAAATTTAAATTAAAAAATATTCTAGTAGAGAAAACAACACAAAAGTTATAAGGAATATTATATGAGAACATAAACCATTTTCCATAAAATTGAAAATAAAAAATATTCAATGATAATTAAAAAAAATTATTAAGGGTTAAAGTGCCACCTGAAACATCTGCTTCATTGTTTTGTCCCCTTCACCAGCCTTGTATGAAAGTTGACTTTGAAGTATAATCAGTTTGTTTTTGGACACCCAGTATAATACATTGTTTAATAAATTTTCAAAAATTTTATGTTCATTTCAAAATTCAGGATTTACTATTCGGCGAGTTCCATAGTCCGTTACATCAACATACAGGGTGATTCAGAACTTGTCCAAATAAAAAAATTTTGGATGTACAGGGGACTTACAAATACAATTTTGTAAAAAAAAAATCAAAAAGGCAGTTCAAAAATGATTTAAAAACACTTCTGCACGGCACTGGACACTGGTCCATTGTCAAACCTGGCCTTGCACATTGCGACCGGCATGGCGGTAAAGTGTGATAAAAACGGACAAAACTTGAAAGAATTTCGCAAAGGAATAAATAGAATTTTATAGCACCTATTTTATATCAGCAAATTCAACTGCTTTTACCGCTATTATTATTATTAATTAATAAAATTAATTTGTGGTTTTAATTAATAAAATAATTTGACATACCTAATGTCACAACTGTTAAAAATTTTGTCCGCCGACGTGTAAACACATTTGGGCCCGGTCTTACTCAGTTTCTACAAACTAACATAAATGTTGTCCTGTTACACGAATGTTTCGCCATAATACAAATGTTGTCTTGCTTCACCATAAATTAAAACGATATCCATCAACTCCAAGTTACTATGCACACAAGCCATTTGTGACACCAACTACTAAAAAACTATTGTAAACACTATCGCATCGACGATTGTAAAATCGGATTTCAGCATTCGGAGTCACTGAGGCCACGCGTATTGCGAATGACGCTAAAGACTAGTCGTCCAGCGATGTAATGCTTGAATGTACTACAACTACGGATTTTACAAATATTTTTTTTACAACATTGACTCCATAAATTTTTTTGAATAAGTTGTAAATCACTCTGTATAAATACTAATTGACTTAGTTTTGAAAAAAATTACTCTACAGGTTCGCGCAGAAGTAACAGTGGACTATCTTCAAGAGCCGGATCGGGATTCAGTCCCGTCCCAGAAAACGGACCTTTAAGGAGTCCGTTACATTCTGGAAACAGAAATTTACGTTCTTCGAGGTTAATGCAGGCGCACAACAGCGCTGGCAGTACCGACTCCGGTTTTGCGCAACCTACCACAGGTGAATATTTTTGTTCTAGAACTACGTGGTAATAAATAATATTTTTAGATGCGACCTATTCCGATCCTCTAGGACCACAACCGTTTAGGCCAAGAACGGGTGCGGGGAAGCCCTTGGATTTTGACGATTTCGGGAATGAGGAGTTGGGCGATGACCTTTTACCTGAGTAAAGGTGTCATTGTACTGAATTTGTTTTAAATATTCTGTTCGTAATGTAATGAAATGAACAGAATGCCATTGCTTTATTTACGGAGATAAATGGGGAGTAATTATGTGTATACGTGTTGATTTGATCAACGCCACAATCGTTAGGATCGTCTATTCAAATGTTTTATATTTAGCCTTGCATTTTTAATTACGAAATTGATACATTGCAGCTTAAAATTGTAGTAAAACTTTGAAGAGATATTTTCTACAATCCCCATCATCCTATTCAATTAAAAAAAAATTAGGTCTTCGAAATCTACAACGATGGCTTTCGGTTTAATTTATTATTTTATGTACCATTTCACATATTGTATTAGTTGCACTGAACTAATGGGATGTTGGATAAGTTCTCGCTGCTTTTTCTTGAAACTTAATGCTTTATTTAAAAAAAAGTCACCGAAAGAATTGTCTATCGTTAGCCATTACTTCTTCCCATCTTTCTGGCAGCATTTTAATTTCACGTCGGAAAAACGATACCTCTTTTGAGGCTATCCAAGTGTGAATCCAAGTTTTGGCATCAGCAATACGTTTTTATAGATATTACACGGTTTGTCTAAATATGAATCAATGCACAAATAACTGACTTTCCTCCATTCTAACGCACATTTTCTATAAAATGGAGTTGGTTTGAAACTCATATTACTTTTTTTTTGTAAATAAATTTGTAATTTGCATCATAAATTACAAATTTCTTTACACCAAAAAGTTATTTGAGTTTCAAACAAAGTCCATTTTATGGAAAATCTGCGTTAAAATGGGGGAAAGCCTGTTATTTGTGCATTAATTCATATTTGGACAAATTGTGTAATAAAATCTATAAAAATGTATTGCTGGTTGTCTATTTGCTATAGAGTCCTCTTTAAGCATTTTCAAGTAGGTTTTCACTGGTTTTGCAACATGTGGTCGAGCGTTATCTTGCTACAAAATCACTTTGTCGTGTCTGCTTATATAGTGGCCATTTTTTCTTCGTCTCAAACGCACCAATTTTAGTCGGTAGCAATTTCCCATGACGGTTTAATTCGGTTTGAGCAGCTCATAATAAGCTACACCCAGCTGATCCCATCAAATGCAGGGCAGAAGCTTTGAATCCAAGGATATTTGGCTTTGCCGATACTGTTGATGCATGGCCAAACTTGCCCCATGATTTTCTACGCCTAGGATTATCGTAGTGTATGTTTCGAAACTGTTGTTTGATCAACTCCTAATGATTTTGCACATTCAGCTAACGTCTGCCAAGATTCTTCATAAACTAATGGCTCCAATCCTTCATCTTCAAACTGTTTCGGTGCGCCAGAGCATTTATCTTCAATATCAAAATCATTATTTTTGAAGTATCTAAACCAATCTCTGCATGTTATTTCCGACAGAGCATGGTCGCTGTAAGTCTCAACAAGAATTTTGTGCTTCAGCTACAGATTTCTTTTGAATAAAGTAGTACGACATCTGTTGGAAAACAGCAAGAATTAATTCAACGTCCCTTTATTTAAAAAATATTGTGATCTCGTACGACCAAGATTTTTTTTTATAGTAGAGATTGTCAGTATGCACATATCATGTATTTGAATTAAATAAAGGAAAGGTTAAGTCAATGTAGCTTGGAACGGATAAGTCAAGAGCACCTGATTCGTTGCACAATAGAACTATTCAATTTCGGAGGTCTTTAGTTTCCCTACAGCCCACATCTACAACCATTGTTTGCATTTTCTAATTACAAATGTCCTATCTCGAGGTTCTAACTGCATTAAAACCACATAAAACTTTAACTAATATTATGTAAAACAACAACTCTGCGGACTACAGCCCTGTCCAGCTTTGAATTACATAGTACCTACAATTTAACAGGTTGCTCTCTGCCAGTAGATATAAAACAATGCTGCTAGATATTCAGTAGCACTAACTATTAAGAGGACTTTATAGCAAATAGGCAACCAGCAAAACATTTTTATAGATTTTATTACACAGTTTAAATATGAATGAATGCACAAATAACAGACTTTCCCCCAATTTAAAGCAGATTTTCTGTAAAATGGACTTGGTTTGAAACTTTAATAACTCCTTGGTGTAAAGAAATTTGTAATTTACGATGCAAATTATAAATTTCTTTACAACAAAAAGTAATTTGAGTTTCAAATTAACTTCATTTTATAAAAAATCTGCCTTAGAATTGAGGAAAGTCTGTTATTTGTGCATTAATTCATATTTAGACAAACTGCCGCAATAGTCACGAAGAATTCAAGTACGTTTTCATCAAACATGAAGAATTACTTAATTCTTTATTTGCAACCTAAAATAAAAAGTTATAATTGAAAATTGCTTGGGCTGAAATTGAAAATAGTATTACAATTCAGAATTCACAGATTTACAATATGTTATTCGTTATCAAATTCCACAATTTTGTCGTAATTTGACAGACCTTGTATCTCTTAAAATAACCAAAATTCCCAAGATGCTTATGTGTTTAATCTCAAGTAGGTGAACCTCGGAAGGAATCGTAACGTTTTCATCACACCTACACGTAATCATTGTAAAATCCTTTGAAATATACTTTTTATTTTCAAATGCTACAATAATAATATAAATAATGCAAATTAGTACAAATAATTTTGCAATAACAACATACAGTTCTGAAATATAAAGTATACATTTTAAAATAAACCTTATTACACTAAAAAATAATAATGAGCGAAATACTATGTTTATACAAATGCATTTATAATAAAATAATTGGCAATAAATATATAATATAAAAACTATTTTTTTTAAATACGGTAAATAAACTTTAATCATCACAGATTAAAACATTCCCTTTAAGACCACCAAAGTTCTAAACATAGATAAGTGACAACTAAAAATTTACTCGTTGTACCTTCCTAATACCATGGCTCTAAGTAACGGGCCGACTTCTTTAGGGTCCTGCAACACCTCTAAAAGCATTTTTTCCACGTTTCTCATTATCGAGACCTTTTGATGATCCCTCAGAGGATATTCTAAGTTGGTAGGTCCAGCCTTAAATAATTGAAACTTACATAAATACTTTTCCAACAAAATAGGAACATTTCATGTTTATACACAGTGGTGTACACAAGGTAGGGGAAGAAGGGGAGGGGAAGATCGGAGCTTCCCGCTACTTTTTCAATTTAAGTCTGATAGAATACGAAATTTAATACAGTGAATTAAAATACCTAAAATTTTAATTCTCTGACTAAAGCCCCCCACCACAGGTTTAAATTTTGATAGACCCCACTAACGCTATTTGTTATTGCACAATTGGCTTAATAAGTTAAACTACCCTGAAATTTAGAACCAAGAATGATTTTAGCATTATTATTTCCTAATTTCATCCCTCTTAAGAACCATTTAATGATGTATTTTATCTCACAGTGATCTATATCTATATCAGTGAAACTATATATTATCCCTCAGTGACCATCATTAGACACAATCTTTCGAGCCTCATAATACAACACCCACCCCTTTAACCTTTCATCTCTCCCAAAGCCCACCTTAGACTTTTTACTGCTTACTGGTTGTGAAACCATTTGATTATGTTTTTTTTCCATATCCACTAAAATCATCACTACACACGACCGCGATCATTCAAACCCTCAACAAGTAAACTCCCAACCCACCAGACCCCACAAACCCACCCCCTTCTAACGTCTGCTTCATAGCTTTCGACATCTTACGGGTTGTGAAAGCATATTCCATCTTGCAGCGACTTAAATCATTACTATACACAACCTTACTACCCCCAATTCATATCTGCGCCCCAACCCCTTCCAAAGCCAAAAAATACATAATCAAATGGTTCCGCAACAAGTAAGCAGTAAAAAATCATAAGGTGGGCTTTGGGGGGATGAAAGGTTAAAGGGGTGGGGATGTATTACGAGGGTCGCAGGGTCGTGTCTAATGATGGTCACTGGGGGATAATATATAGTTTCACAACCCGTGAGATATGCAGTCATTTGGCAGGCTTTGGAAGGGGTTGTGTTTGAGGGGTTGGGGTGGGGGTATAATTCAGGGGCCAAAGGGGCTTGTGTACTGGTGGTTTAGATCGCTGCGAGATAAAATACATAATCAAATGGTTTCATAGCCCGTAAGACCGCGGTAAAACCATAACGTGCGGGCTTTGGTAGGGGGTGGTATTGCGAACTTTGGGGGTGGGGGTATAATTATCAGGGTTTTGAAGTCGTGTGAGGGGATGGTCTAAGTGACTGTAGGCTGAAATGCACGATCAAATGGGCTCAGAGCGACCGTGGTTTTGGGGAGTTGGGGTTGGCTTTTGAGCTTCGTGCCCATTGAGACTTTTGATCGACGTGTTGTGAACTATTATTTTGCAAAGTTCCAAAAAAATTGTCCAAAACCCATTTTCCATAAGAAACGTGCGTAACTTTATGTAAACAAAAAGTATCCAACCATATATTTGCCATATACTTTCTGTCAAAAAAGTATCTGAAATTTGTCGATAAAACAAAATATATTCAATCCATCTGAAGTAATACACTTTTTTCAACAAACGACCCAGTCGTCAGAGCTCTTTTTAAATGCATATTTCAGTATGGACTTCAACTCCTTGAATGATTTTTGGTTTATGGCTTCTATCCACTCAAGACATGTTCCACGAAGTGGTAATTTCAGTTTGGGAAAGAGGAAAAGTCAGCAGAGGCCATATTCTGTGAATACGGTGGCTGCTCTAAGACGTTCGTTGAGGTTTTGGTCAACTAAACATTGCAAGTTATTCATATTGTTTTGTAATACAGATATAAATTTTACTGTTTTACCAAAAATGCTATTATCAGAATTGTTCTCACCTTATACCAAAAATTTACAGTTATTGTAGGGCCGCCTCGCATCAACGATTCAACATGATGCCACCAATATATTGGAATATACAAAACATCACCAGGTTCTACGACTGTTTCGTATCCTTTTACATTTTTAAATTTAGGATATTTTGTAAAATCGGGTCGGTCAAAGTCGACCTAAAAAAATATGTCTACAATACATATAACCACAAAATTAAAATATGAATATCGAATCAAATCAGTTTAAATATAAATATATAAACTGTCTTACCATACTTTGTCTATCATGTGGATGATGAACTGGGTGTGGATATAAACACTCAAATTGATCGGGCGCAAATAATATACACCTTTTATAGCCTTGGATTTGCGCAAAGAAATTTTGTTGTTCATCATAATGGCAAGGTGTCACATTACCTTCCATTCCAATAAAAAGAAGATTTGATGTTAGCTCGCCCCAGTTATGTTTATTTTTCTTTTCTACCACATACCTCCAGTCAAATTTCATGTAATCTTCCACGATTGCTGGTCCTACTGTTGAATTAAGCATTTGTTGAAGGTACACCCTACAGTTAAGAAAATTATATAAAGTTATATATAACTGGATTACTCTCTTCTTTACTTCAAAAATAGTATAGTCTTTCCGATCTCAATTGAAGAACCAAGAGGTTGGCAGTATGTATTAGGTTCGGTCGCTGACGCAGCAACTCGGCAATGAAGTATTTGAAAAACTTGTTCCCATATTTATTTAGCCATACCCATATACAGGTCTGGTTGAACTAAACGTGGAGGTGGTAGAAATGTATACGCCCAGTTGAAGAACGTGCGCGGGGGCCAACGACATATAACACAGCTGCACTGGGCAACTGGGCAATAAATCTCAGTTGTTGACAAGTGGTTGATAAATTGACTAGCAGTGCAGTGCAGCAATGCGGAATTTGGTGTGATTCAGATAATTTTAATTTATTTAGGCGCCTTCTATTAATCATTCATATTACAATTGCGAAAGGGAGAAATAAGAGGGATATTTTGTTTCCTAATATTATTACAACCTGGCATTTTGGAAACCTTTTGAAACAGAACAAAATTAAATTTACTATCAATATAATACAAATATGTTGTTGGCCAAATGAACATATAATAGAAATTTTCTACACATTATACGTATACAAATTATTATAATTTTTTACCTTTAGCAGAAAACTTTTTTAGGGACGCCTAGGAAACTGAAAAATTTTTTATTTCTAGGCGTTTTTATACATGTTCAACTGACTTCGGAAAGACTATACCTATGTAGGTAAATGATCTTTATTTTCAATTTCATATACTTATACACATCTTCATGTCATCATAAATATTTTGTATTGGATGAATGTAACTTTAGAATTATGAAAACATACTTTTCCCATATACAGGGTGTTAATTAAGTATGTCGACAAACTTTAAGGGGACATTCCTTAGATAGGTTTAATACAAAAAGATTAAATAGACAAGGCTCTGAAAATCGATAATTTTCGATATACAAGGTACTTAATTTTGAAAAAATTCACATTTTCTAAAATATCTAAAGATGTTTAACACGGAATTATAAAACTTGAGCAAATTTTACCTAGTCAAAAGAAATCCACTGAACTCGTATTGGCTAATGTAGTTTCAAAAAAATGGTTGAAAAGGAGAAAAATTGACTAGAACACGAAGTTACTGAAAATTGAAAGAAAGCATTTTGAGAGGACTATTAATTTCTGCTGAATATGGTGTTTGGTAATGTACTTAGTTATGGACTTTATACAAGAAGTGAAGACCCTTATGGGCTGGGCATTCAAATTTGGATCCCGTTTCATGATCCAAAGTAATGTTTAAGGAGTCGCCATCATAGCCCTGATGCCCTGGAGTGCCTAGTAACGAAGTTGCACTTACAATGTCAGACGCAGTGGATAAGCGGAAGGACTTTTTTAATATTTATTAAGAAATTAGTAAAAAATAAATGTTACGTTTATATGAACATTATGTCATTTTAAATTTCTCACGCATGTTTTGCATACTCTACTTAATTACATCGACATTGTCTTTATGTGACCCAAGAAATGGCTCACTTTTTTTTAACACAGAATCTTCACTTCTTGTATAAACTCCATTGTAATTATACAAATTGTGGTTGGAAGAAAAGAATATTGAGAAGGACCTGATGATTTTTATTATGGAAAAAAAACCATAAATGAATTTATTATATTCTTAAATGGAAAGTTTATACTGATTTTAGTATTAAGTAGACATTATGGTTAAAAAAGAAACGTGGTTGGAGGCACACAGATGGGCACACAGATGTACAGAATAAAATATTCTTAAATGGACTGTGAAATTATAATAATATCAGTATTAAATACTAGGGTGGGTCAAAAAAATCGACAATTTTTTTTTACTTTATACTCTGAAAAATAGGTTGCTAGACACCTCTAGAAAATTCTCTCCAAATATGAGCTCTTAATTTTAATAAGAAGGTCCACCGCTTTACAGTTTTTCATTTTTTCCTCAGTATTAGAAAAAAAATTAATATCTCTCTATCAACTGTTCATTAAAAATATCTCTCCTCACATGCTTGTAGGAAATTGAACGCTCTACAAAAAAGGTCTCTTACAATTTTTTTCGTAAACCACACCATTTAAAAGATATTAAAGGTTGAAGTTTGATTATTTTAAGACAAATTTCTATTTTGCTTATGAATTTTATAACTCGTTAACAAAAAATCATTTTGAAATGTGCAATTCATAGTGTTGTAGGAAATTAACTGCTCTACAAAAATGGTCTCTTATGATTAGTCGATTAAATGAAGCGTTTAAAAGATATTCATTGTCAAACTTCAATGCACGCCAATCTTAACAGTTTTTGATTAATAATTCGGAAAATTTCAATTTAGTTTTCAGGGTAATTTACACAAATTTGAGTTTCTAGTGGAGCTCCTAATGCAGTCAAAAAAATTCTTCGCTATCATACTCAATGGTTAAAATTACAAAAAAGTTCAAAAAAAAATCTGCACAAAACCAAAATGTTTAAAATTTTACTCACTTGATAATTAAATAAAAAAACTTTTTAATAACAAATTGAAAATTTTTTTTCTTTAAGATAATACTTTTCATAACAAATTTCTAACAAAAACGTTATTTTTTCAAGATTTAATGAATCATTGACTCTCAGTCACAAATAATGCACTAATTTCTTTTCGATGTAACCAAACATGCGTATTACAAAAAAAACTAGAAAAATAGTTTAAACATTTCTCTGTTCATAGAAACTCAAATTTGTATAAATTTCCCTGAAACTCATAAACTAAATTGAAATTTTCCAAATTATTAATCAAAAACTGTTAAAATTGGCGTGCATTGGAGTTTGACGATGAATATCTTTTAAACGCTTTATTTAATCTACTAATCATAAGAGACCATTTTTGTAGCGCAGTTAATTTCCTACAAAACTATGAATTGTGCATATCATAATGATTTTTTGTTAACGAGTTATAAAATTCATAAGCAAAACAGGAATTTGTCTTAAAATAATCAAACTTCAATCTTTAATATCTTTTAAACAGTGAGGTTTACGAAAAAATTGTAAAAGACCTTTTTTGTAGAGCGTTCAATTTCCTACAAGTAAGTATATGAGGAGATATATTTTTAACAAACAGTTGATAGAGAGATATTAATTTTTTTTTCTAATATTGAGGAAAAAATGGAAAACTGTAAAGCGGAGGACCTTCCTATTAAAATTAAGAGCTCATATTTGGAGAGAATTTTCTAGAGGTGTCTAGCAACCTATTTTTCAGAGTATAAAGTAAAAAAAAAATAGTCGATTTTTTCGATCCACCCTATTAAATACTAATGGGGTTAAAGAAAATGGTTGGAAAAGGGAAAGTTGACTAGGATTTATAACTACTGAACTCTGAAATATACATATAAATAAACTTAATATACCTTTCTTCGCCACGTTTCCATTCTCGCAGTCTTTTTATAAATTCAGATACTTTCATTTCAATTCTTTTTGTGGGTGGTGTAAATTCAACTCCTTTTGGATTGTTTCTAGACAAAACTTTTTTGTCATCAAAAAATTTAAATTTATGATTTCGGGAGACATACACGGTATGTCCTGCATGTCCTAAATTTCGTTCTAAATATTCTAATGTCCATTTATCTATAGCTGGTTTTACAATATTTGAATCGGAGATTAAAACAGGTAACTAAAACAAATGGAAGTTAGAATAAAGAAAAGTAAACAATAAATTTTAAGGTTATCAATATTCTGAAATAAATAATTTGGGGAATTATTTACATTTGCTTTAATAAGTTCATCAACTTTAGGGTCTTTGTAGTGTAATCTCGGTATCTGTTCCAAGTTCAAATCGTATTTTCTTAATTGGCTCGAGTCCCACTGTTTTTTCTCACTAGCCATAGTTTCAATATTTTTATAGTGAATTCACAAATGCATGTAAACACATTGTAGTGAAAAAAAAACGGTACGAAATAAGATCGACAAACATAAACAAGTTGAAAATTAACTTCTTAATTTTTCCTTCATTTCACTATTTACACGATATATTAGTCACATCACAATCACATTGCACTTTTCCTTGTTTCTTGTTTCATTCAAAACTCAAAGACAACATACATCATTCCACACCACACCCCGCAAAAGTTTTCCCTCATCATTAAAAGTCATCGCGTTACTTACGTCACGTAGACACATAGGCACATTTTCAGGAAACATGGTTAACGATAATAAGCTGTGGTTAATGTGGTTAAAGCATATATTAATCATAAGCCCTATTTATATAATCAAGGATATAAATTTATAGATTTAATGGTGTTGGTATCTACACATTCTAAAGTGCAAACAATAATATAAAATTAAGTCCCGATTATACAATTTACGAAGAAAAAAAAGTTAAAAACAAAAGTTTTTTGTGTCTATGGTCTTTGCAAATATATAAAATAAGATTATTTGTGTCTGAGATTATTGAGATCAAATAAGTTTCTTTTTGATAATTTAATCGATTCTCGTGCGAGCGGTCGAACTGAGCGGACGTGTTTATTGTGAAGTGAAGTGCATTGCAACGAGCAAGATCTACCTGCCTTTATTAAGGCTACCTGGAAAGAATCCCTTTCTTTCCTCTTAACCACCGACCTAACCCCGGCACAGGTATCTGTGCCGGGGTTATGCCCAGGTAAGTTTTTACTTTATTTATCAGTTATTTGCATTATTTTTGAATACATTTCTTTAAAATTGCGACCCCCGACAAACAATATACCAGACAGACTAATACACCAAAAGACACGTACGCCCCCGTAAGGGGGCATCCCCACACGACTAACACTTACACACCCACCCACCCACACCCACACCCACACACACACACACACGC